GTAGGGAAAAGCTAATGGGCAAAGAAGGTCTAATGTTCATTGGAAATGATTGTACTTCATTTGAGAGATGTGATGCTGATATGAATGCCTGTTTTTGCAGTTGCTCAATAGAGTATTTAACATCATGCGGGAAAAGAATCCAGATATGGTAGCTGGAGAAAAAAGAAAATTTGTCATGAAGCCTCCACAGGTTGTAAGAGTAGGGACCAAGAAAACATCTTTTGTCAACTTTACAGATATCTGCAAATTGTAAGTTTTACTCTTACAATTCCCCAGAAATAGGGAATGGATCCACCTTCTTCTGTGCTTTTGGGTGTTGTGTTGAATGCATCTTTTTGGCAAAAAACTATGGTGAACTGGAAGTAAACTAAAAGCTATTTCAATCTTACTACTCCTTTCCTCTGCATTTTTCTGTGTTAAGATAACTATGAAGCTGTACTACTTCAGCTTTCGAAAGTGGTAATTGAGATGGCTTCTTAGTTTGCGCGTGTATTGTGAAAATCATGGACTTGCTTCATGAACTGAAATTAAATCTATTGTGCGTTCACTGCTTCTAGTTAAGTCTGCGTAGTTGGGTCTCCAGTGGTATTTACTTGCAAGTCTTGGGGGGGGGGAATGTTCTTTTTAATCTTGAGCTTTCTGACTGCAAGTAATCCTATACTGCTATTCTCTTGGTAAGTGGTATAGATTTCAGTAACTTTTTTCTACTGTTTGCTGCAACACTTTCTCTAAAAATTATTTAATCTCTGTCTTCATTATTTCTAGTTCAAGTAATCCTGTTCTCTGTGGGCACTTCTGGGAATGCAACATCTGATTTGTTTCATAAATGTGTCAAGTAACTGTCCTGATAGACTCATTCTGAAGATCTGAGTAGTTTACTAAAGCAAATAGTTAATGGTAGCTAGTAACTCTTTTGCATAGGACGGGGTGTGTGTTTCTAGTAAGAATGTGAAAATCTCAAATATAAAACTTAACTTCCAATAATTACTGTGATTGTTATTTTTTTTGTGAGCTGTTTCACCTTCTTGTGTCATGAGTAATATCTGTCTGTGCTCTCTGGTGCAGACCCTTTTGGGCTGCTTCCCTACAAACTTGGTAATTAAAGATGGTTTTAGCTTGCCATTCCTGTATAAATACCAGATTTCTTTGAAGGGGGAAAGGTTAAAGATATCTTTACTTTATTTTTAGATTACATCGTCAGCCAAAACATCTCCTGGCATTTTTGTTGGCAGAATTGGGTACAAGGTAAGGTATTTGAGTCGTGCATGCATACGTGTAGGAGACAGTGGCATCGTAGTTGACGATGCCTAATCACAAAGAAGATTCCTGGGTTTAGGTCCCTATATATTTGCTTGAACAGCAGCTTCTTCCTTGCACACGGCTGCTGTGCTGCATGATTGAACAGAGAGCATTTCAGGGAAAAGGTACAGATGCAGACTGTAAAGTCTCTGGGAACAGTTTGGATAAAGCTTTAAATTCCCTATCTGGGACCTTTCTCAAATATGCTCTGCTCTGTCTTAATCACTTCTGTGAGAGAAATCGGTGCAAATTCCCCATTCCGTAAAGTTGTTCTGATTGTCAGCGTAACTATGAGGCTGATGTTCTGTGTGTTTGGTATTACTGCACTAAGGATTATGTTTGGGCAAAACTTTGTATAGGTTTTTCAAGTGTCTTAAGAATTGGCAGTTTTTTTGCACAGAGTAATTTTGGCCGCTTCTTACCTTGAAGAATACATCAATTAACTTGCTTCATGTTCCTGACTTTTGAAAATGAGTTGATGTCTCCTGCAAATCAAATACATGCTTCGTTTTTCTTTTAAATTAGTGGCTCGATAGATGGTAACAACCAACTTGTAATCAAAGGAAGATTCCAGCAAAAACAGATAGAAAACGTCTTGAGAAGATATATCAGTAAGTATAATTCCCTTTTCCACTCTGGATTTCTCCCAGACCCATTCCAGTAATGTGCGGGCTGAGCTTGGCCCACATGCCCCACTGCGGACATTTTGTGGAAGCTCTGTGCTAAATAGCTGTGACTTTTCTACTGCTTTATAACGGAGTTATAGAAGTACAGGCTGCTTTATCACTGTTGCAATAAGCAAACAAGACTTGCTATGCCCTGGTGCTTAGATATACCAAGGAAGCTAGTGAGTGTGTTTGAATGTTGCTTGTTTTCCTCTGACTTTCATTTCATTACTTTGGGGAAGAACACTGAAAATAACAGTAACTGTGACTTTTCAAGTTTGTTGTGCTGGTTAATTAACAAATACAGTGTGTGTGCTGCTAGTGAAAGGATTCTGAATCTTCTGTAACTTATGTGTAACAAAAAACGATGCTTTGGACAGTGCTGTGTCTATACAAGTGTTGCTGACATCTGAGAATGCCATTTTTGCTGTTTCAGCAGAGAAAGACGTGGGAAGCCAGTGAGAAGTCTTAACGGGTTATTATTTTTAAAACATTGGTGTCAGTGCACAAAGTACCAGGCAAAACCTTTGCGAGCTAGGGGGAATTTTTAGGTTGCCTCAACCTCTGTTTTTTATGGTAAGCCACTTATAAATTATTAGATGCGTTCGAACAGACTTTCAAGACAGCTGTTACATTAAAGGCTGAAGTGTTGATTTGTTCATTGATAATGCATTGTCTTTTAACTACTACTTAATTCCTTTTCTGCAGAGGAGTATGTCACCTGTCATACGTGTCGGTCACCAGACACAATTCTACAGAAGGACACCAGATTATATTTCTTGCAGTGTGAGACCTGCCACTCTCGCTGCTCTGTCGCCAGCATCAAAACTGGTTTCCAGGCTGTCACAGGCAAGAGAGCACAGCTCCGTGCCAAAGCTAACTAGTTGGCTAATCAACACTGGATTTTGCAAAGTGTTCTGGGGAGATATGACTGGACAGGTTTACAATCAGAATGGATTTACCATTATATTAAAACAAGATTGTAAAAACTACAAGAAATTTGGCTTTTGATTGATTGGTCTGTGAAATCCTTGCAAGATGCAGATCCTCAAGCTGTTCACATACATTTGCTCATTGAATATGTTTTACCAACTATAAAGGAACGTGATGGGAAAGGAGGTGCTTTTTAATCCATTCAGACTTCTGTAAAACATGAGATAAATTAAAGATACTATAACAGTGAGTTTCTTTTGATTTGAATTTTTCCTTCAGTTTCCTCTGTAAACAGTTCATGGGAATGTTTGGTGTGTTGTTCTGCAGATCATGCAACTGAACTGTGTCCAAAGACCCAGAATAAAGTTTTAAGATAAAGGTTATTTTGCTTCTGCATAACAAGCTTATTTTAGGGAGGTTATCACTAAACAGAGAAATCGGTTACAAAACAAGGATATCATACCAACATGAGAACTGCTCATGCTGCTTTAGCCACGTTAGTATAAGAATGCATTTTGCACAGAAAGTGGCATCAGGACATATTGACACTGCTTAATTATGGAGAACATAACTCTGAGGTAGTTCAGACACCATACTGATGCTGAATTTTAACATAGAATTAATAAACCATACTGTAAACTTGCATAGTATCATAGTACTAAATTTTGCAGTTTCTTACAGAGAAGTTTTATATTTCTTAATTCCTGTACTTTTCACCACTTTTAAAAAGAATTAATTAAATCCAGCAAAAAATGAAAAGGATACAGGTGACATCATTATGTGGTGGTTCTAATGCACTGTCTTATATCAATTTGGAATTTACAGAAGATGCTGCCAAGTAGTTTGAGTTCCACATCAACACATTGATGCTTCTTGATACAAAACGTGCACTTTCTACTAGCGGTCAGTATCAGTAGTCTCTAGGGGACACGCATAGTGCTGTCCTAACTAGCTTTTAAAGTGCTTTAGAACTTTTGTTCCAGCTGCAGAGTACGAAGATGGACATGGGGAGTGTACTCTCTCTGGAGTACTATATTGGGAGAGAGAAGAAAGTTTTCATTTAATCAGTCTCCAAAATGGCCCAGGGTCAGCATGAGGTGTAGTACCTTGGGAGCCATGGCACCCATCCCTGCAGGTAACCAGAGTAGCCTATTCACAGGAGAAACTGGTGGTTGTTCGGAGCTTGCTTCATCTAATATCAGAAACTGATGGCTTTCTATTGAATTTTAATCTCTATTTGTATGTCTGTTAATACAGAACGTGGTTTTGCTGGGAAGTCACTTATTTGCTATTTGAAAACTTGACAGCACTGTAAGGTTAAAGTCAAGGTTTTATAGTTGGTTTCTCTAAAGCATTTTGAATTTCAAGTGAGCTATAACAAATGTTGGATGTATCTTTTAAGTGAATAAAGCCAGGATCAGTGCCTCTTGTAACATTATTCTTGCATCCTTGTCTTTTTCTCTAGCAAATAGAGCAAGGCACTCTCCTGTTGGAAATGAGAAGTGCTAGTTGAGTCTGGGAGCTAACAAAGAGCTGAATAATACACATGGATTGATCTCCTCTGTTGCATTTCTTACCAGGTGTGAGACAGTTTTCTTGCATCTTAACCAAGTGATCTAAGCTATTGCAGGTCTGCTCCTTTCCAGCAGTAAAGGTACAACACATGTTTCAGCCCAGCCCCCACAGAAGAGACACTTTTGAGAGATGCATGTCGCTGGAGGCCCCAAGAGCTGTAAAGGAGTCTTCTTGTCAATCAACTTAAGACACACCGATATTGTTGTAAGAATAATAATCTCTCTAACTCACCTCAGCCAGGTAAATGCTTTTATCCCCATTTCATAGATGGGAGATTGGAACACAAGAGTTAGATGACCTTACTGGAGTCACAAAAAAGCGGTCTAGTTCCCTAGTCCACTATAGAAAGAGTGGCATCACCTTCCTTAGAGGTAGTCATGGCTCTGTTCTGCAGAAATAACTGTGATGAAAGTGGGACTAAACTCTTCATGGAAGCTTCTGTCCAGAGCAAAGATTTAATCAAAGCAGTGATATATTCTTTTTTTAAACATGAATTGGTATAAAGAAGGGTAAGGGAGAAGCATTTATATAAAGTTTCCATTGAGAGTGGGTGATTTCTGGTTGGTACTGTGCATAGGTCACTTGTCTTCAAGTCACATATACTCTATCCTAAAACCTCCAGTTTGTTTATCAGTTCAGTTTCAGCCTGTTAGGAAACAAACTGCAAAGCCACACTGACTTCCAAAACAGTTGCTTGCTTTTATATTTTTAAACCCTTTTCTTCATGGTAAAGGTTAGTCCTGTGTTGTCGGAGTAGCAGGTCATGGCTCATGCTGAATATAATTTCTGTAGCTTCCTGCTTGACTGTGAAGTTTTGACAAACAGCTGCCATCTAGTATGTTTGCATCCCAACTACCCCAATGCAAATACTTCCCTGAAGAACCCGTTTCTGGCACCTGCCAGAGACAGGATGTTAAGCTAGATGTGGGCTATGCTGTAATCCAGGATGGCAGTTCTGGGTTCGCTTATGCCAATGGCCTCTGAGTTGTCCTGTTAACTGTTGGGTTTTTCCAGCCCATAGGCTCGCTCTTCTTTTCCTAGAATCATGAAAGACTCACTCAAAGGATGAGAAAATGTACTGTTCTGGGCCTGTGGAGGAAACCGGTCAGTAATGCTGAGGTTAGATACAGTGGCCAGCCGTCAGGACAAGTGCGACCTGGTTGGTAGAAGGTGTCCTTGTGCTTTCCTAGCAGTGCAAAGGGGATCTAAAGCTAAAGTCTGCAGACGTTTGAAATCCCACAGTGTTCACGGGGATTGGCCGAAGTTAGGTTGGTGTATGTAGCTTTATCTCACTTTCTGCATGTAGAGAGGCATTTTGGCAGTAGACCTAGATCATGGCTTGTTCCAATTCTAGGTGCCCATCTGTTGCCCTTGGGAAAGACTCTTCTCAAATGGCTCCACTTTGGGCTAGTGGCTAAAATGGTTTTGGGTAAAGCATCAGATTATATGGCAGAGAAGGGAACACAACTCCATGTGTCCTTTCCGTCAGTATTCCATCAAATGCAGTAAGTTGATAGAGAAGAAAGGCCTTTCTGACAGAAGGAAAAAGGCTTTGGAAAAAGGTATTGCTTTGAAATAGCAGGTGTCCTAAGAAGAAACAGGTTCTAGGTGTCTTACTGGTCTTCTGGTCTCTAACATGCACTATCCCATCTGTAAAAGCCTTTTGCCTGAAGTGATACCACTCAATTTTAGTCCCTCAGCTAAGAAATTCTTTTTTTTTTTTTTTTTAAGCTCTTTCTATAGTCAATAAAGACAGGGAAATGCCTCTAGAGGCAATTCAGCCAAGCTCTTCCACTTTATAGCCGAGGGAAACTGTGCTTTTAATCTGTGGTGAAGCCCATGCAATAATGCAGATGTGGTACATGCATACATATATTTATAGATGCTACATATGTGAATGTATATAAGTATGTATACACACCTATATGCATATTGTTACGTATCCTGTATATGAGAATATGGATGAACCTGGGCTGTTACACCTGTAATCTCTGTCTCAAGCCCCACGTAGCAAATATACTGCTTTATACAGAAGTAGATATTCAGGCTGGCCCTGGAAGAGTGTTGCTGCCTCATAGACTTGAGGAATCTGCTTTTCTTTGCAGGGTGAAAATGCTTTCTCATTTCCTTTCTACTTAGAATGTAGTACCAGGCTCATTTGTTGCTGTGAAAGCTTGCTATTCATCCTTTTTCCTTTCTGCATATTGCAAACAAGTGCGTGTTTCTAAAATCTGACAATAATAGGTTCACATCTGTGTTATTAATCATTTTTCTGTTGTTTATCCAGCAGATATGCGTGGATGCTTCCCTATTCAGCCTGCATCTTCCATAGCGAGAGCGTTAGGGTTGTGAGAGACTTTGGATTTTCTGGCATAGAAGCAGCATCCTTGAATGTTTTTAAACTTTCTCTTGCACTAGAATTAGCTCGCATCGACTTTTAAAAACTGAATCACAAAGACTTGTGGGCTCTTTTTCAGACTCCGTTGAAGGTCTATCAACACTGATGTAGGAGAGGAGAAAAAAGTTTTTTAACAGCAAAGAAAACTGATGCCTAGATTCTTGTAGCTGTGACACACAGTTTCTTCGTCAGGTTGGAAGCAGAAAAAAAATCTATATTTTTCAAAGTCCTTTCTCCTTTGAGGCCTTACTTAATTCTGTAGCAAAGCAAGTTGAAGTTTTAAAACCTTTTTTCTTCCTCTAGTCTCACCTGCTGCCTTGCATAATCGTCTCATAGTTTTCCTGCATTTCTTTGTTCTATGCGGAAACTTTTCACTTCACATAGCGTGGAGCAAGGCCATATGACTCTGATGGCAAAATGCACTTAAAACCTATTGCCCGGTAAAATGGGACAGTAAAATTAGGTGACGTGGCTGGTTCTTGGTGCTTCTAATGTTGTTTTACAGGCCTCTCCTGATAATTTTCACTTTCTTAAAAAAGAAAAAGAAGTTTTATTGCCCTCATTGCAGGGAGAAAAGCTAGAAGATGTGATCCAGTTTGAAATCAAGCCCCAAAAGGCATGTAAAAATATTTTTGTGTATTTTTTTTAGTTTTGTGGACTGAATTGTCTTTCTCAATTGCTCATAGTGCTCGGAGCCTGCTGCAGACCTTATGTATATTACATTTGTTTGTTCAGCACCAAAACAGCCTTTTCCAACATGAATGTGAAAAAATCAGTTCTGGGAAATCTGAGCTCATCTCAAGTGAAGCTTAAAGCATTTTCTTCACTGCATTGTCTCTACAGTTTTTGATACCCTTAAACAATGGACTGCTCTCCTCTGAAGTTCCAGCCAGCAGGGATGATTGATTCTTTTAATTTTTTTTTTCTTCTGAAGGAACAGTGCAAAGATCTCTTGGGTTCTCTTGAAGTGGTTATTTAGGTTTGAGGCTGTGGTTGCTGCTGGAGAGGTTTCCATATTAGAGAGAGGCTGCTTTAGGCTGGCTTTGGTAATGCATGTTGTTTCTAATTTTTTTGCACACAATGGTTTGTTTTTAATTACAGACCTACTCTGCTTTCACAAATTCAATTAAGCTGTGTGCTGAAGCGCATTGTTTTCCTCTGTACTTTTTTCTGAATGAGGGAGGCAGCCTTTAAATCCTGCCCATAACCGAGAACATTTCGCGCTTGAAGAATGAGATGAGGAGCCCCAGCCTGTGCCTCGTGGAAATCCTGCAGGCAGAGAAGTGTCTTTCTGAGCAGGCCAAAAGCAGGTGAGAGCGTGCCTTGGCACAACTAGAATTGAAGGGGAGCAAGGAAGGGGTTGAGCTGGAGTAGAGTGTGAAGATCAGGAGTGGTGGTCACTGCTGTCCAGTTGTACCTGCCATCCTCTCCCCAAATCATTCAGGATTACCAAACTGAAGGAAACGCTGGGCTTTAGACATGTGGAGTGTTTATGCTGTCGTGCCTCCGAGCTGCTCTCCTTTTGGGGCTAACCTCCCCTCTGCAGACCAGGTTCCTCCTGTGCTAGGGTCTCACAAACTCTGGCTGCAACCGCAGCAGTCCCACTGCTACCGTTCTACTGTGGATGGAGCTGCAGTCTTCCTGAGCGATCCCCCGGCCTCGGTCCTGCCCCCATGCCTGTGTCTGTGGGCTGGCTGCCTTCTTGCTGCCTTGCAGCTGGGAGCCAGCTGGCTTGGAGTGAGGGAGGGCTGGATTTGGAGGAGGTGAGTCCTTGTGTTGGATACAGGAAAACCCCTCTGATCAGATGATGGAATTATTCCGGCTGTGGGTGAATACAAGAGATGTCAATGTAAAGTGAAATCTTGAAAAGAGAACATTTGTGGCTGCTTCAGCGATACGACTGGTTCTTCTAGAGCTGAAAATACATCAGAAGTGGAGAGCGACTTTGCTGTGAAGGTGCAAGAGTTCTTGAAGATAGGAAGAAAATATATAGGTAATGAGAAAATAGGATTAAACTTAAAGCATACAAACTGCAACAGGCAAGGGTTAGGCAAAGTATACAAATGCCATAAAAAACGCCAATAAATGCAATAAGAAATATAGCAACTTGTGTGAGCTGAAACATGGTTTTGAGTTAGTATTCCTGCTATCTTGAAATAAGGTTGTTTGAAAGTACAGCTGTTAAAGAGGTAACTGTATATGTTGGGTTTACCTTGCTAATTTGGGTTATAATGCCCAGTGCCCACTTTGACTGCTCTTTGAATGTTTTACATAAGCGAATTCATAGCGAGTCTTGTATATCCACAGCATTGCGCTTTGAAATGTTGCTTAAAAGGAGCAAAGAAGATAAATGCAGGGAGGAGGGAAGCTACCGTGGGGAGCAGAGCTGATGGGGACAAGACAGGCAGGAACTAATACCAGCCCACAGTGACAGCCCAGCAAGGCTTTGGACACTGTCTCCCATC